TCCAAACCAAATTTCGATATCATAGTACTTCTTAACTAAAAGATATCGGCATTTTTAGAAGTCATGATTTTCGAAGAAAAAAATTGAAATTAATTTTTATTTCGAAAACGGTAACAGATAGGTATAGGGAAATATCAAGAAAAGTTGTCGGGCAATTGTTGGAGATTCCAAAAATAATATTATATACAGAGTGTTCCATTTGAAAAATCAAAGTTGCTACTGCTTTCTAATAGAAGCGGCAACACCGCATTGTCGAAAATATTTTAGTTTATTGAAGTATGTCCGAATATGCCCTCCATTAAATTTTCAAAGTGATCCGTTGTCTGGTTCACCAGAAACGTCTAATGTGCCATCCACCGTGAATCAGCCTGTATGATATTGGCCACATACTGTGAAAATGTTTCTTTGCCAAGTTCCACAAGGGTCTATTCTAGGCCTTGTCTTTCACGTAATCTAAATGCCCCCAGACGAAGTCATTGTATGGCGAAACACGAAACGTGTTGCGTTTTTGTAAAACTGTAGAATCTCACAATAAAGTGTTCTTTGAATACGTTATATCATGATGAATTACGTATCAATTTGAATTCTGCAGTATTATCGAAAACAATCTAAAATTGAGTTGAAAATAATGGACAATATGGCTTGCGAAGATCTAATGATACCGAATCAGCAAAAGTAGATATAGTTACTCAATATATCAATGATACACAATGGGATGATTCCTCACACGAGGCTGAAACAAAAAAACATAGTTTTGATCAAGTCTAAGTGATGGATCCCCTATATCTGGAGCCGGCTCTGTACTTTCCTAGCTGCGCTCCCTACGTACCTGAGAAGTTACTAAATGCAATCAGACAGCTGGCTCACCCACATTTCCCAAAGTAAAAGCTACACCCGACCCTTATAACCGCTGCCAATCCCCATGCTCCCTATCCCTACTCTTACCGTTAATGGTTTGGCCTTTGCCGGCGCATACAGCATTATTCTCACGGCTTCTCCTTTCAATATTTCTTTCTCGTGAAAATCCAACAGATATGACTAGCGTTTTTTCACCTCGTTGGATTTTGAGACTCCGTCCTGTCAAGATTAAGAAGCGGGATTTGATGAGCTTGAATCTACACGGAAAATGACGTGGAGAGAGATATTGGAAGAGGGAAAGTTAGAGGGAAGTTTATTAAGAAGTGAATAATCTCAAGCCTCTAGTCAGAGGTGATTTACACTTACCAGTAGTAATTCAATAACCTATACTGAATATGCATATAAAGAGAAGGAAAATTGATGGTGATTTTCACGGAGGCTGAAGACTTGGTGGACATGAACAATCTTTTTATATGTTACGTCGTCTCATCTTCGAAAATTCTTAGTGTTTTTCGAGGATGGGTATCGATAGTCCTCCAACTGCCCTGCTTTTAAATCGATAGTCAGTAGAAAGTCAACAAATTGCTCAGACTAAGTGAAGCCTTCAAATGAAAAGTTTCCGCAGTTATTGAGATGAAGTCTGTATTTAGAACACTAAAAACCTCAATATTGACTAATATCGACCGATATCAACTGGAATGTCTCCCAAAATGGCTGCCGTAGGGGATTTTCCAGAAGACGGTTCACAAGTAAGGTTTTAGAGCTGCATATTGAAGTTTAGTTTCCTGCAGCGATGGAAGGACATCTTTCTGAAACGTGTCACAGTAGCTATCTGTATATTTGATCTTCATAGATTAAGTCTTCTTCAGGTCCCGTCGTCTTCGACGACATCTGTCTCCTGTCATCTGTCTTCTGTTGTCTCCATAAGAAAAGATGACATCGTCTATACTTAGTCAGGCTTGTGTTTCAAGTAACTGTTGATTCCACAAAGTATCCGTGGTACAGGCTAGAACTACAGAAGGGACCTATGGTGCTTCCTGGTCTAAAGTTTCCAATGCTTCAGTTTTGGGCTCTGTTTACAACAAGATGTAGCTAATATTCATTTGGAAAAACGGTTTCAGGACGACACTTTTCAAGATCGCATTGTGTTGAACCATAAAGCAATGGTAAGCTAATTTTTTGTTACATGTCGCCCTCAGTTTCCATAGAACTATTGAAAGTCAAGTTTCCCAGCCCCCTTTGAGGTTACATACTACCAGGGTGGTCCCAGAAGTACCTGACCTGACCTAGAGATGGCGGTAGTTGTTTGAAAAATATCAGTGTCTTAGAAAGTACACAATCTATAGAGCATATGTTTCAAGTTTGAAGACGCTACGTTGTTTAGTATTTGTAGCAGTCATCAATAGCGGTGAATTTGTGAAAATGGAGAGTTGTAGGATGACATCAGGCGGATAAGTAGTTTATGTTGGAAATAGTGAATCTATTCACGTTGCTGTTGCTTATGCTATTACGTCCAACTCGGCTAAAGGCTAAAAGTCTAGATCTTTCTGATCTTTTCCTTTTCTTCAACTGAGGGGGAAACGTCCTTGATGGTGTCCAGCTAGACAGTGTACTACCTCAATTTTACTGTTATGTGAAGAGGACCAATAAGGCCAATAATTTATTTTAACTTATAATGTTATTCTGAATCTATTTCAAGTTTTTATAAAAAAAAAACTTATAGGTGAAGTTCTACATGAGTGGTCTAACGAAAAGTATGCACCTTGCTTTGCTCCTTTTTTTGTAACTTAACGCAAAAATGTTCGGACAGGTCAACTTTGCTTTTGAGGGGGACACATTTTAGATGTATTTTTCTACCTGTGCCTTCAACCCCCTAGCGAGGGTGAGTAACAACCCTAAAATTTTAAATGGATCCGCATTTTCATTAACACCAAAAATATCGAGTAAATGTTCTTGCTTTTTTATAATTATTCAAGTAAATACAACAAATTAGGTATCATTGGAAAGATAATTTTTGTGCCCTTTCTAATGATATATCACTCGACCCCACTTTCCATTTAAAATTTTAGGGTTGTTACTCACCCTCGCTAGGGGGTTGAAGGCACAGGTAGAAAAATACTTCTAAAATGTGTCCCCCTCAAAATCAAAATTGACCTGTCCCAGCATTTTTGCGTTAAGTTACAAAAAAAAAGAGAAAAGCAAGGTGTATACTTTTCGTTGGACCACTCGATATAAATCTCTATAAAAATCATGATTATGATGCTGAAATGTTGTGAGCTAATGCATAGTACTATGGGTGAGCATTTTTCAATTATGGAGTGATTTGATCTTGCAAAATTGAGTTCTCAGCCTTCCCCAAAAATATCTTCGATTGCATATCACAGAAGCCTTGTTTCATATAACTTCAATATACAGGTATTTATTTCAGTTGTTTACTATTTACGGTATTACTTAACAACCAAACTCCACAAAAATACGTTCCCATCAATTATTCCCATTTAATTTCCCAGCTTTATAAATGGTTGCTACTTGTGATCCAACAAAGTTGGGTGGCGCCCACTTCAATGTCAATTTGAATTTGATTGAACATAATCTTTTAACTGACCCAGAGTGCTCTTCGGCCAAAAGCTGTCGTTGAATTATCAATAATTTGCTGTTATAGGCCTTAGCCCAACCAATATAAAATCTGAACTGGATTCTACTCTGGGTTGGTTAAGAAAAAAAGTGGTATTTCATCAAGAACAGCTCACAAATCCATTATCGCCATGACCAAAATTAAGGTATTAAAGTTTGAATTGCTACCTCATGTATCCTATTCGTCAGATTTAGCCCCCTCGGAAAATCTTCAGTTCCCAAGCTTGAAAAAAATGGCTCAGTGGTCAAAGATTTTCCAACGATGAAGAAGTGATATCGACAGTTAATTGTATGGAGCTGCAAGGAGATTATGTTGAAAAACTAATATATTTTTCCCCGAAATTATTGTGTTTCCTTTGTTGGTCCGGGTAGTTCTGGGACCTCACCCTACTTTGATTTTAGATTTTGTAATTCCAGCAATGTAGGTTGTTGTCGATTAATAATTTGATCGGAAACTTGTGACAGTGCCATGGCACGCGTTTTTTCCATACCATAAATTCTCCACACAGGGCCACACTCCGTAAATTGATGTTAATTTTGTCGCAAACCAAACCCTGAAGAAATGCAGTGAACTAAAAAAGAAAGTTGTACGAACCTGGAAAGTTTCCTGAACTTGACGTCGGCCAGACCGTCCTTCCCAAACTGGAAGCTGCCCCTGTACCCGACGGTGATGGCCCCAGTGGCCTTGTTCCGACTCTCGCTGCAAATGGCCTCCACCAGGCCATGCAGCATGTACTTCTCGGCCTCCCGTTTGAGCCGTTCCCGCTCCCTAAAGCACTCCGGCAACACGACGGTGCCGTCCCGCAGGAAGTCCAGCACGTATCGAAACAGGACTCCGTCGCGGTCCAGGAAGTAACGGTTCTTGGCGTCCACGACGACGGGCTCGCGTCCCGTGAAGATGGCGTGCAGTAGAGAGTCCTGCTGGCTCGTCAGCGTCTTGAGCGTCGTCGAGTACGTGACGCCGCCGACGTTGAGGTCGATCAAGGAGGGAAAGTCTCCTCCCTCAGACATGGCGGTTGCGAGAGGACTGAGGAAATCAAGTGGCCGCTGCCAATGATGCCTCTGCGATGAACAGGGTTGCCAGATGGGATTTTCCGAATTCTTTAAACAATACTGAACTTTAATATGAAACGCTCTAGTATAAGATAGAAGAAACAATCTATTACGGATGATCTTCCCAACTAGCAATTTCGTATTTTATAATAGTTGCGGAAACGTTTTGGAAAAACAAATTATAAAACTGCATTCCTCCCAGAAATGTTTTCAAAATGGCTATTAATAGGAAATTGGCACTGTTTTATACCATATTTAGTAAGACCTTTTACAAACACTACAAAACAGTTTTATAAACATTTTGGCAATTACTTGAAAAGTAGTTTTATAAAGACTTTCCTTACTGCATTATTGCAACATATTCAAGCGATACTTATAAAATAATCAGAAGACAATTTTATAAGAGTTTTTTAGTAGTTCCAAGTAGGCGTTATAAAATACAATACAGCCGAAAACGATAACAATAAAATAAAAAAGTGTTAAAAATGTTTTCTTGAAGACGCAAGAAGTCATTTTGTGTTGGACACTAGGAAAATATAATAGATATGTCACCAACTGAAAACTAACAAATAGAAAGGTTGAAGCTAAAACTGAACTCCCATCCAACTCATTTCTATATGAAATATTTTTTCGAAACACAACTAAGCATCCCGTTATTTTTATGGTTTTTTTACACAGAATACTAAGAATACGGCCCTGTTAATATTTGTTTGCCTTTCTGCTCCGCTGTGGCTCTGCTGTCGGTACACAACTATTGTGATCGTTTATAAGTTAGTTGGCAACATTTTTGCTAATAAACGACACTTTGGTGACTCTTATAATAGAAATTACTTATATTCATCACATATCACATCACGTCACATCAACGTCTATATGACAGTAGGTATTAGTTACTCGAGGAGTTACTTCTGATTACTTTCTGTAAAGCATACCTTGCTGTACCTGAATTTGTCATCATTTAAAGGGTTGTAACACGAAACTGCTTCACTTAGAACAAGTTATTCAGGTTTTCTAAATAGATAACTGAAAATTGAAACTTGAAAGAGCAAACCCTTTGTATTTTACAGTCTTCCAAATTGTGAATAATAAGGTTGAGTTACTAAACCCAATGCCTTGAAAATATTGAATTTACTTATGGGGTACCTATACTCAATGAAAATAAAATATTTAGAAGTTGCTGAAGAACTAATTTCCACCACGATATCGATGGTGTCCCATTTGAATAACTAAATAAAAATATTCTTACTAAACACAACTGAAATTTTGATTTTTTCAAAGCTGTGATTAGGAATCGATGTCAGCTTGTTGTTCTTAAATGCTGCATTTTGTTCTTGGTGGCAGCAAATATATATAAGCAAAAGCAATTTAATTTTATAACAATTATATTAGTGTATTTCAATTGTAGTGAATATACCATACTATAAAATAATTGGGAAATTATCACTGAAGTGACAATATGGTAATGAAAATAAAATAGTGTCTGAAAGCAGTCTAATAAAATAATTTCATTAAAGCTACAGGAAATAATTTTGAAATAAGCTTGAAATAGTTTTATAACTATCATAAAAGTCTCGCAGAAAAAGGTTATAAAACTGCTACATAACAATTTACTTTTATAGGAAAATGAGTTTTATAAGTTAGTTGTAAAAACGTTTCTGTGATAATTTCCTTACAATTTATAATGGTTTTTTAATTTTATTTCATAAACGTTTCTATGATAAATTTATAAAACACTTTTATTGCCTACAACTGTATTGTGTTCACCGATCATCTAATACAATCAATTAGCATTTTGGAAGTAATTATAAAATATTAATAAAATAAAACTGTTGCAACACCATGGAATTATAAAACAACTTTGCTGGTTGCGCTTGAACCATATGTATCTGGAGAAAATTATCTCCATCAGTCTTTGAGGGTGGTGAAAGAGTACACGCATGCTATCGATATGAAATTCGGGATAGACAAATGTGCAATGGTCCATCTCAAAAGAGGACGATGCGGGGACTACGGAGAGGATGTGCAGCTCATAGATGGAATCATCCCACAGCATCTAGATGCCGGAGAGACGTATACTTACGTCCGGGTGGAACAACTTCACTAACAAGAGGTAACAGCAGTGAAGAACTCTCTCCGTGGCAAGTATCAGCACAAACTCCACTGATCTGGTCATCGGAACTGTCGGGGATAAAAGTTGCTGCACCAAATATGCTTGCCGTTTCAGTCTTTCTCTACTCGTTCGGAGTAGTGAAGTGTACTCAACTCGACGTAGAGACCCATAAATTGATGCACTCCATTGGAGTTTGCATCCAAAATCGTCCGTTCCAAGGTTGTAGTTTTCCCGACAACAGGAAGGACGTGGACCCTCGACTTTGAAGTGTCTGCATGACAAAATGGTACACAATGGAGCCTGTAAAGTCTTCAGGAGTTCAGCCCTCCTTCTCTGCGTGGTCCGAGACCATAAGAGAGGGTGGGAATTGGAGTATTCATCGTTAAGGCAGCTGCCTGAGCAGCTATTCCGTTCATTTTACGACAATGGATCGTCATCGAGTTGGAACTCGTCCAGCAAAAGGCTCACATAAAAGCCGCAGAGACCACTCCACTACAGAGGCAACAAAAGGATAAGCCTATACATGGGGTCTTCTTCAACAAAATTGATGACCTTGACTTATAAAAGCGCCTTACTTTCGGTTTACTCAGCTCAAGTGGGCTGGAGTCGGAAACTGAGGGGTTCATCATGGTGTCTTCAACAGCTCAGTCTACCGCAAACTTAGTTTGAAAAAAATAAAAATGATGATGGTAATTTTGTATCCAACTTGTCGTTGGATACAAAATTACACCAAAAAGGACCAAGTATATTTAAATCTGGGGTGCATTACGAGACTCTGAGAGGATACCATTCAGTAGATTAGGTCTGCGTAGGACAATGATGCTTAAAAAATAAAGATCGATAGACAGGAATAGAATCATTTATGTTCCTCACTGATCTGTGGTGAATGTTCTTTCTTCGAATTATTTTTGAAGCAATGTACTTGGTTAATCCAGTGGCCAAAATCTTGTTGATAAGACAAGAAATACTATATGAAGCAAAAAAACCAACTGGCTTTCAGACCAGATGGAATAACAAATGATATTTGAGAATTGGGAAGCAAATATGTAGCAAATCCTCCACGATGCTTGTTCGTTTCATTAGTTTGAAGTGGAAATATGCCAAGCCACTTCAAATGTGCAATAAGATCGATAAAACAAAAATCTCAACTTTCACGTCATATGAATCTAAGCTAAAAATGGTCACCATTATAATAGACCACAATAGTGTTGCTCATAGTTCTGATATCAAACACCTAGCCTTACCATGTCAAAAATCTCCTGAAATATACAGGGGTGCGCAAAAGTCCGGCACAAAATTAATATCTTTTTAACCAGTATTTTAGGAAAAAAACGCTGAAATACGTCAGTTGATTTCACGTTGTACGCATTTTTTGGCAATAAAATGATTTTTTTTTCAACCCCTTAGCTGCAACCCTCCCCAACTTTTTTTTTCAAATGTAAACCTATGTCGTGTATAGACTCATTGAAAAGCTCGTCAAAATTGGATTCTGACCATACGCTTTATTTTTTTTTTGTGGTTACAACGAAATGAGAAAAAACTCTTTTGGAAAGTTACAAATACCTAACTTGTGCTATTTACGGGTGAATTAACGTAACATATGTTGAAATTGGCCTCCACCCTCTACTTGGCAGACTCCTAGGCGATAGTAAAACCCGTCTACGGAATTCCGAATGCTCTCAGCCGGTATGTTATGTCATTCCACTCTAATTCTGCTTTTTAGATCTTCAATATTAGCCGGCCTATTTTGATAAACCTTGTCTTTCATATATCCCCAATAATTTGAAAAAAAAAGTTGGGGAGGGTTGCAGCTAAGGGGTTGAAAAAAAATATTTCATTTTATTGCCAAAAAATGCGTACAACGTGAAATCAACTAAAGCGTTACAGCGTTTTTCTCCTAAAATACTGGTTAAAAAGATATTGATTTTATTCCGGACTTTTGCGCACCCCTGTAATACCCACATTGCAAATTTACCGAGTGGAGTAAGATCTCTCTTTTTCGAATCCTACCAATACGAAAACTCTTTCCATTTTTTCTCCCTCTTGGTTATGATCCAATTCTTCAAACCTGCAGAAATGTCTTTGCATCTGGCAACGCTGGATGGAGCACTTCGCTGCCGCTTCTCCCCTCTCTCCTGCGTTGGGACGAGTCGCGGAAAACGGAAAAGTCGGCGTGGAAAACGGTAGGGTTCCGTCGCACGATGAAGTCGTGTATGGAATACGGGTTCCTGAGAATACCCGACTTCTGTACGTCTGGTTATTTCCAGCTGAGATGAATGTGGAGGAGCGGAAAGTAAAACTTCCTAAGAAAAAGGGGGAGAATGCACTTTGAAGTGATAATTGTACAGAAAAAGAACTAGGTATATAATTGAGATACTTCTCACGAAGCAGAGTACTCGAAAAAAACCCCACTTGTTCTACCATCTGAAAGACAAACAAATTTCCTGGTAACTCACTTGGATTCCTTCTCAACAATTTGAATATATGAGTATCTGTATCTACCTGCAAATTTTCAAAATACATTTTGAGTTGAAGTATCCCTTTCAGGTCCGAAGAATATCAATCTACTTTTTTTAGACATCTTCGGCGTGGAACGATTTTCACTACTTACCGTTCAACCCGTGCACATTAAATGATAAAACCTCGTTAATCCTTATTAACGACGAAGGAAACAACGTGAGGATTGGTTCACACATGATCTTAACAGCTTTGAGAGTCACCCATGCCTTATTTTTCTATTATTAGCAATGCAGGTTTCAAAACCAACTGACGAAATCTGGATTTTTTTTCTCAAAAATAGTCGTTGAGAGTGGCAATGTAAAACATATTCTCATTGTCCATCCAAGATAAAATTTGATAATTTGATATTTGATAAAATGAAATTGGTGTCTGAAAATCACAAAAATGCTGTCTCTAGACGTGCGTTTCGCTAACCAAG